ACAGAAGAGAGTTAATTACTCAAGAATCTTTGCATCTGTTGTCTCTGCATTCATCTCACAAGCTCTCATAGTGATCTCAGCATCTTGGGGATGATATGTTCTGCAGATTGATATAATGACTGCTTTTTTAAACACTCAGCTGCCTGCTGATGAATGAATATATATGAATCAACTCACAGAATTCTGTGAAGACTGTGATAATCTTGTGTGTGAGTTGATGCAGAGACTCTACAGTCTTAAGCAAGCAGCACTCTTATGATATGAGAAGCTGTGAAAGATACTATTGTACTCAGGCTTCTGTGTCAGTCTCTATAATACTGAACTATTTATTCATGATGAAAGACAGGTCTATATAATCATCTATGTGAATGATATTCATCTCTATAGCCTGAAAATCAAAGATCTGAACTGGGCCAAAGCCAAAATCACTGCTAATTATGAGATCAAGAATGTAGGGGATTTCAATCACTATCTAGAAATGAAGATTGATAGAGATTCAACTTCATTGACATTGTCTCAATTTCTCTTTATAAGGAATCTTCTGAAGGAGTTCTCAATGAATGACTGTCATTCTACATTCACTTCTATGAAGAAGAATGTTGATTTCATGAATGATGATGAGAAACTGATTACATACACAGCAGAATTTACTCTACAGTTCTATCAATCTGGTATCAGATTCCTGCAATATCTGGCATTCAATACATGTTCTGATATGAGCTTCACTGCAGGATTTCTTGAATGATTCAGCTCCTGGCCTACATCAAAGAACTGGGCTGCATACAAGTGTATGCTCTGATATCTACTGAGTTCAATCAATGAGAGTATAACCTATCACAGAGATGCCGAAATTGAACCTGTAGCATATGCAGATGCCGATTGAGCCAGTAGGGATTCAGAATTCTGTTCAACCACCAGTTATATCATCTACATGACAGGTGGTCCCGTTGCATGACAGAGCTGCTGGTAAACAGAGGTCTTCAAGTCATCAACAGAGGCTGAATACATTGCATTCTCTGAGGCTGCATATGAGCTTGTCTGTCTCTGAGAGCTTCTAGAAGACACTGAATTCATTCCATTCTGTCTGAACAATCTGAATGCTGATGATCATCTCATTTCCATCACAGTCAATGATCTGACTTATATGATTCATGCTGATAATAAGTCCATCATAGAGCTATTCTCTTCTGAAGCAATTTCACACCACTCAAAGCATATAGAGGTCTGTTTTCACATTCTTTGAGATCTTGTCTGCAAGAACAAGATATCTATCTGATATGTTTCATCTGCTGAGAATGCAGTGAATGAGCTTACTAAACCACTTGAAACATTGAAATATACACATTGAAAGGAGATTATGAAGATGAAGAAATAGAGGGATAAAAAATGATGTATATCATGACTGATTTTTCATTACTTCACATTTTCCAGTCATTTTTTATACCTGTACTTGATTTGAAGGTGAATTTTGTATATAGCATCATGTATAGTTACTCTGATGAGTGGGGGTGTCAGGTCACGTGATCTGGCTTACTAATCCTTCCACCATATAACTTCTCACAAAGCTAGCAACCTTTCAATCACACAAGCTTTACATCTTCCACAGTAATTACCTGCTTAATAAGTGGTGACTACTTATACAGGCCATTGCGGATTTCTATACAGGCTTGTTGTGAGGTTGTCTATAGGCGGTAACGTGAGGTGTGCATTTTTTCAATCAATCATATCACAGAATGGGGGCCTGCAAGATTGCACCTTCAATTCTAATCAGGTTTTGAAAGCATCTAACATATTGCTTCGCTTCGCTCTGCAAATAACTTCTCACAAGCTAGCAACCTTTTCAATCAAGCAAGCTTTACACCTTCCACACTATTCTAATAAGGTTTTGAGAGCACCTAACATATTGCTTCGCTTCGCTCCGCAAATAACAATAGGTAAGAGCGAACCCGTTCGGCTGGGAGATAACGCCTCATAAATAGCATTTCTTCATATATATGTATAAGTATACATATATATACTTTTAGATATACCTTTTTCAGATGTAGGTCTTAGGAACATTAGACCAGAGCAAAAAACACCCACATCAGTAATCAATTAGACAGAAAGTTCAGATACTTTGCTCGGATCAATGTTTGCCTTATAGGGCTCCAGTGCCTTCTGCACTTCTCCTCCCAGACCACAGAAGTTCTCAACCTGCTCCGGGCATCTTCCAATGAAGTTCATCGGATCCAATAGCTGGTCAACCTCCCCAGCCACTGGGGCAAAGAACTCTGACTTCTTAATTCTGTCAATTAAGTCGTTTCTTCTGCCCTTATTCTTGACTATGTCGCTCGCTTGATGGGACAACACCCGGATTTCCTCATGGGCGTCCTGTCGTGATCTTCCAAGCGACACCATCTTCATCATGATGGTTTCGGTTGCCATGAAAGGTAGTTCTACATTTCTGTTAGCGCTGTTATCCAGGTACTAGATCATCCTTGGGCAAGAAATTGTTATGTTACACACCTTCCATCAGGCGGCTATGGATCCGTGCTGGATAGACAACAATGCCGGACACTACATTGTCCATGGCCATCAGGATTGAGTCCGCGCTTAGGAACATTTCGGGAATAGTGATACGACGAATCGCGCTGTCATCGAGGGTGCGCTCGAACCATTGCTGCGCATAGGTATCCGCAGCATTCTTATTGAGATTTGCCAAGTGCCGTCCCAGACTGGCGATGCGTTCGCAACGCATAGGATTCCGCTTGTATGCCATGGCGGACGATCCGATTTGGTCTTTCTCGAACGGTTCTTCCATTTCCTTCTGCGCAGCAAGATGTCTAATATCCCCAGTGATTCTCTGAACTGTAGTTCCCAGTGCAGAGAGAGCGTTGGCTACACGCAAATCGACCTTGCGGGAATAGGTCTGTGTAGAAATCGGGTAGCAGGATGGAAATCCCGCCTTGGCGCAAATGATTTCGTTGAGCTTGTCGATTTTTGCCCTGTCATTGTTGAAGACTTCCATAAAGCTGGCTTGCGTTCCAGTGGTTCCCTGGGCACCGCGGAATCGGAGGTCGTTCCGCGTGCGCTCGATATCTTCGAGATCCATGAGCAGATCTTGCACCCACTGAGCAGCACGGCGTCCGACGGTGATGAGCTGAGCGGGCTGATAATGGGTATAGCCAAGGGTGGGCATATCCTTGTATTCCAGCGCGAATTGGGACAGCTTGTGGATCACTGTTGCAAGCTTGGGAAGTACAAGGTCGAGAGCGTCACGAATACTTATCAGGTCACCGTTATCTGTGCAATAACAAGAAGTGGCGCCCAGATGGATGATTCCCTCGGCGGCCGGGGCGACTTGACCAAATGCCTAAGATAAAATCCCCAATTAGTATCATAGATCTTGGAATATCTGACCAAGCCCATACAGGGCCGTGTAGCCATCTAAGATAGCGAGTAAGCGCAGCAATAAATGTAATGTACATACGTAGACATGGGCCATAACGTCATGCCTCCGCCGCTTTTCCTCCTCCGCCGCGACCTTGAAGCATTTGTCCGTCATGACCACATTTGCCTTCATCTGAGCAATAGCTTCATCCGAAATATCGATTCCCAATTCCTTCTCGGCTTCCGCGAGCCAAATCCACAGTTTCCGCCATGTCGTTGATCGAGTTCGGGCGGAGAAGATGGTTTTCATCTCCTTGCCTGTCGTTATATACCACCATGGCTTAGTTGACACAAACCAATTCGCCTCGAATTAAGTGTCACTTACTTGCATACCGCGAAGCCAGCGGGGTCTGATATGTATCGTTTTCAGCCATTTTTGGAATAAGGTCGCAATTCTTTATTATTTTGCGGGGTTTGTTGGCCGGGGGAAAAAGAAGAACAAATTCATGCACATTATTCTGCCGCAATTTAACTAGTTACCCATTGGTGCGCGGGGAAAGCGGTGTAAAATGAAACCGCCACACTTCTGAAAAGCTTCATTAGTATTGTCACCACTGAGATAAACGGCTAGGTCTGCCACCGGGAAGCCATCGTGCAATTGTTCTTATACTTTCTCATTCTCGTCTCTGAATGTGTTCACTAAACATATGCAATCAATCGATCCACGCATAGAATCTAGCACTGAAAGGGGGTGTGTCGAATTATTACTTGTGAGGGCCTGCTTGGGCGAGATTGATCCTATTTATGATGGGAGGATATCAAATCCCATAGTTACTACACCTACTCTTTCCTTTCATTTTTGCATTCGAGTATCTGATGGCCTTTTCACTCAAACGCTCCTCAGCATATCTTAAGATCTCCGCGTTTTAGAGCCGGAGAGGCGAGGCAAGATTTAAATAATAAATAACTAAACAAAATCCGAACAATCTCCGCCAAAATTAACTGCAGTCTCTCATAATCCTTGTTGAACAATTTTTGAAAGTACTTGCGGGGTTTAGGAAGATCATGCACTGGGGCCTTATAACTAGCATTGAGGGCTTACTGATCACAAAATTTTTATCTAAACCATCCATAGATCGATAGATCTGCGCTTCAGCATTCACCAGATGCTGTTTTCATTAATATTATCCCGAGCCGGCCAGATAGCTAAGCTCCAAAGATAATGACACTTTTGCAAATTGTAGTAGGTTCGTTATTTCGGTTGTTGGATGGAAAAGAAACAGTTTGTGGTTGGAAATAAGTAATAGGGGCTGCCCAGGAGCGACCTCACGATTGCCGCAGGCGGTTAACTAACTAATTGCACAGACCGAAAACTGTAACTAACTCCTACGCAAATAAGTCAAATACCATGGCGTTACATGTACCGAAAGAGCTCCCTCCATGTCCTGAATACTTCAACTTCGCGTACGATGTCGTTGATAAATGGGCGGCACTGTCACCGTCGCCTCAAGCAATGCTTTGGGTTGACCAACACGGCAAAAATCCTCTCTCTTGATTTCGCATATTTCTCACGTTAGTCAAACCGTGTAGCTGGGTTGTTAGTTCGACTTGGAGCTCGAAGGGGGGATCGAATGATCATCGTGTTCCCTCGAGTACCAGCATGGTGAGTGATGCGTTTACCTTGACCATCTTTAGGGGCACATATGGTGCATTGAGAATCCTTTGGTTTTATGAATATTATATATTGATAGACTTTATAGGTGGGAAATTGCAACCGCTGCGATTGGCATTGGCGTTGTGGTCTGTCCATGTCCAGTATTGGCGGTCGCACATGACATCAAGTATCGCGCGGAGGCATCCAAGGCTTCAATATTCGTCGGAGATACTGTCAGCATCTCCAAGTTCAAGACTATCCAACGCGAGTGACCCGATATTCGAACAGTCATTCAAGCAACAGGCTCACCGCTTGAGGGTGGACTTCAATATTCTGCTGAACTAGAGAGTAGGACACCGAAAAACGCTGTTTTCAAAGATGTATTGCCGAAAACTAAGTGGTCGGACCCTTCCGTCATTTACTTTACGTCTGGTACGTTAACTTACACTGTTTGACTCAAAAATCTTTGCAAAGAATATTAGGCCAAGCGGACTAACCTTCCTAAAACAGGCACAACAGGCATGCCGAAAATGGTCCTTCATGATCAGGTTTCTTACCCTCTAGGTTAGCCATCTTTTCATATTTCTGGGATATGTAGCAGTGACACTAACTCTCTTTCTAAGCACATGTTTTGACCAGCAGCCTGTGGCTTGGGTTGGAACCTGGAAAGCTATACTAGAATCTTTCTGAATAAGGTACGGATATCCTAGACATAGCGAATTTTCAGCAATAAAGCTATTTGCATACCTTCTATGAGAGGTATAACTATCATCTAATCTAATTCAATCCTACTAGGCTGGGCGAAGGCAGCATGGGCATGGTTCGGTGCTTGGGGTTGCGGCGCAGCCCTGTTCGTGCAGGAGACTGTCAGGCCTTCAATGCTGAGAGTGCTCTTGGTAATCTACATGATATCCCATTACTACTCTCTGCTCCCCTCCCACCGCTTATCGGCAGTTTGTGCTACCTGCAAGGCGTAAGTATTTCTCTCAAAGGCCTGCAATGGCGTTGAAGCAATGTGTCAGCGCAGGAGAGCCACTGAATGACGAGGTAATTCGCATCTGAAATGAAATGAGTGGCATAGAAATCCGCGATGGGTACGATTAGACTGAAACTACTCTGGTTTGCGGAAATTTGAAAGGGGGTAAGATCAAGTACAGCTCAATGGGTCTCCCCGTGCCTGGTGTGCCCTTGACTGATGTGAATGAGAAAGGCGATGAATCACCACCGTTCGAGGAGGGCAAAATTGCCATTGCAACGACTACCAGCTCTGGAGCTAGAACCATTAATGTCTTTTCCAGCTATATGAGTCCGGATAGAAAGGTTATGTTGCCCCAGCAGCAAGGAAGAAGCTGTTCCTGGTATCTCACTGGAGATAGAGCTTATAAAGATGAAGATGAATACCTTTGGTTTGTTAGTTAATCGGATGATGTTATAAACTCATCCGAGTATAGAATCGGTAAGTTGTGACGCTCCTGGAGAGTGGGGGAAAAAAAAAAGGCTTGAAGCTAACCATTTCCCAGGTCCATTTGAAGTTGAGTCTGTGCTGAAGAAGCATGCCGCAGTCATTGAATCCGCTGTGATGGCATCCCCAGACCCTGATCGTGTGAAGGTTGTCAAAGCCTTCATTGTTTTGCAAGAAGAGTTTAAGTTACAGAATCCCGATTCCCTGATTGCTGAGATTCAGAAGTTTTGTAAAAAGGAAACTGCTCCGTACAAGTACTCTCAACAGATACAGTTTGTAGAACCTAGTTTCTTACTCAAGACAATCAGTGGGAAAATTAAGAGAGTGAAGCTGAGAGCTTTGAAAAAGGCCCTTGCAACAAGAGGGGTGAAGATATGAATGAATAGATACTTATAAATAAAAATGATTAGGTTCTATTAATTTAATATCTTTCACAGAAGTTGAGGCTAGCGAAGTGAACTCATATCACATGATCTCTTTCTACCCCCCTTCATTGAGCAGAGATCCATCGGACTCTTATGAATCGCTTGAAGTAATTGACACAATTATCCATCTTGATTAATTTGCTTCAGAGCTTAAATCATCATTACATAATTAAATATAAATGCTGATAACAATTGAGAGTTGACAGAGAGCATTTCTCAAGTTAAGAACTCATTTATTCAACAGTGTAAGAGGTCTACGCTGAATAGATCAGTATAATATTTATAGATCTTATATAACAAAGTGAAAAATGTTAGAGAAGGAAAGAAAGAGAAAGTGTGAGAATTGATAATCAGAGTGAATATTTATACATGTACACAGTGATATACATAGTGAAACTTCAGAGTGAAAGAATAGAAGTTTCATAGGTTTTCAGCTGAGAATCAGTGACTGAGAATCAGAGTGATAGAAATCTGTGAAGTATAACAGAATAGTCTATATAATTGATCAGGTACAGTCTGTCATATTAGCTTCTTCTTTTCAGAAGCAGTTCTCATCAGTCAAGAACTGCTGTTTCAGATAACACAGAGCTCAGAGTTCAGATTGATTAATCATGACTGACTCATTTTATAAGATATTATCAGCTGCAGCTGCAGAGTCTCTTATCAAGAATATTCTCAATCTCTCACTTTAGCTCATTATCTTCTGCTATGATCTCTGACAGCTGTCAGTCAGATGTCAGTTGAGAAGAAAACAGATTAATAACAGTATAATGAAGCAAGCTTGTATGAAAGTCTTGAAGAATAATGTTATTATATTATATGTAATCTATCTATATGAGTTACACTAAATAGGTTGAGATAATATATAACTAGAGTAGATGTAGTAATCATTAACATTCTCTCTTACTATACTATGACCTGTAATAAGCAGTCACTCAGAGCTCTTCTTATTCTCAAATCTTTCAAAAATACAATAATAATTAATTACATGAATTGAATTCTGATTTTCTTATTAGAAAAGATATCTGTATGATAATAACTGTAAAAATCAAGAAATACATGCAAAATCTACTGATTCACTACATTATTATTATTATTCAATCATTTCTTTCTGATCTCTTTTAAATTAATTCTTTTGACAAAATCTTCAAACACAGACTTTGTCAGTGACTTAGTGAGCTCATCAGCTATGTTCACTGTAGAATCAACATGTTTTATCATGATTTCTCCTTTTTCAATCAAATTGTGAAGAATATGATATCTAATCTCAATGTAATATGATCTTTGTGTTAAGAATTTTCTCTTTACTAGATCAATTGCTCCCTTATTATCAACTCATAGATACAAGTATATTTTCACTTTTTCATCACTTATCAACCTGATGTCATATAACATATCATTCAATCAGATTATCTCACAAGCTGTTTCACTAGCTGCAATATACTCAGCTTCTGTGATTGATTTGATGATAGATGTCTGTCTCTGTGACTGTCATGAGATTGATGACTCATTAATCAATATAATGTAGCTGATAGTCAATTTGTATTGAAGATCTGGTCTTATTCAGTCTGAATTGCAGTATGTCACAGAACTCAGGCCATCTTCTATCTTCTTCTTGTATAATATGACATGATTTTTCATCTTCTTAACATAACATAGAACATGCTTCAACACTGCTTAACATGCCTTGTATGAATATGAGTTAAAATGTAAGAGATAGTTGATCATGAATACCAGATCTGACCAGCTGCTTGAGATCAAATACTGCAATGATTTCAATTCTTGATAATATCTTATAGTTATAAAGTCATCATTCAATTCATCATTCTCATCAGATGAAAATTTCAGTTATATATCTATCATCATTGAGGCCTCTGCAGGGTTGATCTTATTCATTTAAAAATCTTTCAATATTTCTTCAATATAACAGCTCTGTGTAATCACTAGATTTTCATCTCAGTATTTAATCTTCATTCTCAGATAAGATTTATTCTGTTTAACTTCTTTTATCTCAAATCTGTTTCTGATTTCTATCAAAATTCACTCAATTTCACTCTCTTCAGATCCTGTGATTCAACAGTCATCAATATATAGTATCAAGAATCACTTGTAAATTGAATACTAAAGAAATCTGCTATTGTAAGATGAGATCTTGAATTCTAGATTCATCAAGTGTTCTGTTGTAAGAAAATATTATATTCTTACTGTCTGTTTTATTCTGTATAAGCTCTGATATACAAGCTCTACTAATTCATCTCAATCATGCTTGATCTCTGTGAGTAGTTGCATAAATATCATCTTATTTTGAGACAATACCTCATTCAAAAACACAGATATATAGTCAATCAATCTGACTTTTCAACTTCTTGCTGTTGATATAGTGAATAAGCTCTGTGATGTAGATTCAGACATCACTGCTGTATATGACTTATTATAATAAATATCTTATTATTGTAGGAATTCTCTAATCACTTTATGAGCTCTAAAGTGAATAATTTCATTCTTGTTATTCAATTTTTGATTGTACACTTATTTATCTGTAAGAATGTTTATTTTCAGAGTCTTTTCAACAACAATATATATCTTCTTCTATTCAAAAGTATTGACTTTCTTCTTCATTGTCTGATGTCAATGTTCTCAGTCATGACTTCTTTTGACCTCTGTCAGTGTGGTCAGATGATTATTAAGAACACTGAGTACAGAATCTTTATTATTCACAGAGTTATTCATATCATTATTAACAAGTTCTGTCTCATCATCTAGTAGATATGTCAGTTTCAGTGTGCTGTTCATATCATTATCAGCAAGCATCTTTAAAACATCAGGTTTATTCTTCATAAGTCTTCTTAGAAGGCAGTGTTATCATTTCTTAATAATATTAAGAACATTCAATTCCTCTGACAGTTTGACTACTTCTTTAATAATATTCATCAGTGTTTCTTCTGTAGCTAATTCTTCATTAAAAACAACATTTCTTACAATCTCAAGCTTTTAGGTTGCAGAGTTTCAGATACAATATTAATACAGTTCTTGATATTCAATTAATTATCATTACTTACTGTCAGTTCTATCTGTGAGCTTATTGATAATCTTCAGATTCTTCTTATATATCTTACATTCTCATCTATGTATTCAATGAGCAGAAGGTTGAACATCTGTTCAAGCTTCAAAAGAGAATAATAAGGTCTCTCTCTGACATCTGTAAATCTTCATTAATATTAGAGATATGTTGATTATCATGATTGTAACTTAAATAGCTTCATCTCAAAGTTCTCTTACAAGTCTGCTATTAAATAGTAAGCTTCTTGTCTTTTTATCTACAATACAATTGACATGTTCTGCAGAGCTGTTGAACTGTGATGTATCAGATGTAGTGATCTTATATGTGATTTCTTTTCACTAACAGTAGATCTTTAATTTATCACTTTTAAATTCATCTCTGTCATCGCAGTGTAAAGTCTCAATTTGACATTGAGTAGTGACCTCAATTCTGTTAATAAAGATTATTAAACATGCAGTGATCTCACTCTTTAACGTCATAAGAATAATTTATCTATAGTGTGTGACATCATCTGTAATACTTATTCAATAATTAGCTCCTTCATAAGTAGAGAGGTTGATTTCATCATATAGTGTACAGTCACCACCTGCAAGATTCATAAAGAATCTCATCACAGGTTTGACAGTTCTTCTCATTGATGTGAATGTTGAATATGTCATTTTTACCTGTACATAGATTTTGCAGAATGGCAAAGCTCAGTCATTCTTGATTCTCATTCTCAGTCATAAATCTGCTGCTAATTTAGTGATATCTGTGAGATTGAGATGATTAAGCTTTTGATGTCATTGTAACATTGTATGTTCAACAATCTTGATATTCTCATTGAACAATGCTAGTAGAGAATCTTTTTTCTCTGCAGACTGTAGAATTTTTACAGATTCAAATTCATCATTTGACATTGTAAATTGAATCAAGTGTCTAGTTATTGATTGTTTTTTCAGAATGTAGATATTCTTATCACTCAATTTAACAGTAAAACTCAACATCTTGTCAGAAGAGGTTAGCAAGATTGAATGAGTGTTCTCATAGATCAGTTGCTTATATGTATAGCTCTGATGTATAAGCTTTTCAAAACTTATAAGATTAATCTTCAGCTTGAGAATGTAGTGAACATTCTGCAGCAGCAGATTTACTTCTTTAACTGATATATTCATCTTCTCTATAGCTGTTATGAGAGCTGTCAATCTGTCAGTGATCTTCAATATGACATTAACCTTCTGCAGCACTATTGATATGAGATTCTTGCAAGATGTAGCATGAGCATCAGATTCAGAGTTCAGAACCCAGGTATCTTTACCAGTTTGATCAGTAGAATAGACTGTTTCTGTTGTATGAAATACTTACTTAATGATATTATAAACTGATACTGAGCCTGTTTCATTCTTATCCTTATTCTTACTGCAGCTAGTAGAGTGTATTTCAGGAAATTTCAATAAGTAATCTGTTTGAATGTGACCAATCTTCTCACAATGATAACACATTTTGATAGCATTATTACCCTTTCTATCCAGCTTGGTGAAATCTTTGTTCTTGTTCTCAGAGATCTTCTTCTTCTTCTTATTCTTTTTATTCTTTCTGTTGAAATCTTGAGCATTATTTGCAGGGGTCTTTTCATTGAAGATGAGAGGTTCATCAGTAACTGACAATTGTACAAGAATATCTTGACACAATTTTATGAAATTATCTTTGAGTGTTCTAGTATTCTCATCCTTCTCTATTACATTCATTCAATTCTTTATAAAAGATAATCAACCTTTACTAATCCCTGTAAGAAGTCTGTTGAAAAACATGAAATCTTTGACATTATATTTCAATCAGATATAATCAGTTCTGATTGCAATTAAATATTTGATAAATGTGTGTGTAAGAGGCCTACGCCGAATAGATCGGTA